AATACACATTCAAGTCAAGTAATGATAATGGTAATAATGGTAATAATAATAATGTTATTGTTGTTACTATTGTTATTATTATTTAGTAAGGACTCAATAGGTAAACAAAAATGCCAAATCCAGTCTGAACATCTGGCTGACTGTACAAATACTACTACTACTGCTGCTGCTGCTGCTGCTGCTGCTGATGATGATGATGATGATGNATATGTATATGTATATGTATATGTATATGTATATGTATATGTATATGTATATGTATATGTATATGTATATGTATATGTATATGTGTATGTATATAAAAATCTCTTTTAGCTCAAAGAGCTGACCTAGGCAAGCACCATATTTTCCACTATGTCCTCAGGGGATGTGAATAGCCCCCTCTCTTAAATGCACTACTGTAGCAGCATCTGAATATGAGATTTTAATGTAGCTATTAGGTTGAACCCTATGTAGCCCTTAAAGCTTACAGGATCACATTGGCTCATTCATTATCTATCACAGAGTTGTTATAACAAAAAAGGAGCATTGTGGGATATTTGGATGAAAACTTAGATAAATGAGTTTATTTTCTTCTGTTAAGTATATTTGTTTTCTCATGAGTTTGACTAACGTCAACTATTAAAACTATTTATACTAATTGTTATAATAATTCCTTTAGCAGTAACTTCAATTAAATTTTGAGTTTCTTTTGCCTTTCTTGGCCTTCTAATCCATCAATTTTATTGGATAAATTCTAGTATAATGGAGACTGTGTTCTGAATGTTCTGCAGAATGTTCTGCAGACTGTGCATATTTTTACCATATATGCATATGTTTCATATTCTTTCATGATCACCACAATAGCATTACAATTTATGGCTCTTGCTTGAGGGGAATGATGAGAATTATCATCTATTGTCATACACAACCACAACCACATAATTTGCTTACCATTTTCTATGCCTTGTCCAACGTCACAGGTAGTGTATGTTCATATGTTTCAGATGTGACCACATCATAAATTTGTTAAATTTAGTATTGGCTGTCACACTTTAAACCCTTTTCTAACAATCCCTTGCATGAGATTTTTGGCATTTACTGGCACTGTTCTCCATGATAACACTTTCATTAACACAACTTCTCTACTTGTTAATCATCAAAAATTCAGAACCTCTTCCCCCTTTACAAAATATGTAAACTTAGTTCTGTATTCTGCCAGCCAAGTAAAGTTCTTTACCCTAATTTCACTGACTTGATTTAATGTTAGTCATACTGGAGGCTTCTCTTTTGAACTGAATGTCAGTTAGTTACATGGATTTTCCTATTTACTTCTATGCCTTGTTGGTAGTAAGAAAATAGAGGAAACACACTGAAATATAAAACATCTTTGTGGGTACAGAAAAAGATTCAGAAACTCCTACTAATCTAAATCTATAGCTCTCAAGCTACATAAATTGCAATGGATCTAAAAGCATCAACTACCCACACAACATCACTTAGCATATGTAACATCTACCTTAAGTACCAACCAGAACCAAGAAGCATCACCAGCATGAATTCCAGTGATGAAGATGATCTACCTGATGACACATGAAAACTACTACCATGTGTCATCATTGGAAGAAATATTCAAGTCCAGTTCCAAGCTGGGAAAAAGGCACTGGAGACAAAATGGAGGCTGGAGGCTTGAGAGTGGGAGCTGTTTATACTTTCTCTTGGACTTTGCACGTGAGCTTCCTGTTCCTGAGTAAGAACATGTATTCTATTGGCTGTTGTCAGACTCCCATGGGGCCATGTACAAATCCTAGGAGTATGTCTGAGCTAAGTTTGTTTGAAGTTTGCTGGGAGTGGTACAACTGAGATGATGCAATGAAGAGGCTTGTTGGAGGGTAGGGTTACCCCTCAGCCACAATTCCTATTGTAGCTGAGGGCTAACCCTACCTTTGTTCAGACCTTGCTGCTTTCCAGGAGCATGTTTCTCCATTTCTCATCCATGGAAATATAATATTCTGCCCTTTTAATATTTCTCAAAATATTTCATTCCTCTAGAAGGGGTGGGAGCTAACTTTCTACACCATTGAAAGCATTTCAACCTATTGTTTTTAGCCTTTCCATTCAACACCTATTCTTTTTTTGTCGTCAACTGTCAACTGTTTTATTCACCCAGAAAAGAATGAAAAGAAACATTGGTCCCAGGGATGGGTTGCTGCCGGTCTTACTAATGGTTTGCAACCTGCGTGTACGTGCGCTGTTCAATGTAAATTGTTCTTCGCACATGCGCAGAACAATTACAGTGAACTGTGCGTGCACAGTCACTAAACAAATAAAATGGCAGCATCCAGCAACAAGGGAACCTGTTTGGGGGCATGGCAAGCCTGGGTCACTGCTGGTTCTGCGACCCAGGCCTGAATTCCATTACCAGTTTGGCCGAACTGGCCCGAATCAGCAGCAACCCACTTCTGATTGCTCCGAAAGGCTGAGCTTGATGAGATTGTGCTCTTCCTGAAAGAGTAAATCTGTTAGTGGTGAGAAAAATAAGGTCTTACACTTAGGTAAGAAAAGCAAAATACACACATAGAATAGGTGGCACCTAGCTGAACTGTGAACATAACTGTGAGAGGGATATATATATGTAGATGTCCTAGTGGACAACTACAAGAATGATCCAGCAGTGTGCTGCAGTTGCCAAAAGAATCCAGTACAGTCTTAAGCTACATCAATATCAAGATCACGTGAAGTGATAGTACCACTGTATGCACTGGTAAGATCATACTTGGAACACTGCATCCAGTTCTGGTCACCATGATATAAAAAGGATGTTGAGACTCTAAAAAGAGTGCAGAGAAGAGCAACAAAAATAATAAAAGGTCTGGAGGCTAAACTGTGCAATGAATGGTTATAGGCACTAGATATGTCCAGTCAACATGAAAACATGATAGCAGTGTTCCAATATTTGAGAGGCTGTCACAGAGAAGAGGGGTCAACCTATTCTCCAAAGTATCTGAGGGCAGGATAAGGAGTAATGGATGGAAGATTGTTAAAGAGAGATCCGATTTAGAATTAAAGACAATTTTCCTTACAGTGCAAACAATCTGTGGAACACATTGCCTCCAGATATTGTGGGTGTTCTGTCACTGAAGGTTTTCAAGAAAAAAAATTGAATAACAATTTGTCCAAAATGATTTAGGACTCCTGCTTAGGCAGGGGATTGAACTAGAACATTACTAAGATTCCTTCCAATTATGTTATGTTCTAATAACCACATACTATGAACCTACCTTTTCTAGGAGATATCCCTGACCCCGATTCTCCTTGTATTCTGGCCCTTAAACTGTCATTTCAGTTAACATTCAGCTGAAGCATGAGTGTGGATGGCCATCACAATGTTATTATTAATATTATTTTTATGGGGCTGATTATCAATGGCACTTTTCTTCTTGTTGTGAACCTAGAGTCTTTCTGAGCATGGCAATGTATAAATATTCTAATCACTAACTAAACATTTGAGAAAGGGGTTTTGTTTACACAAGATCCATATCTTTAAAGAAGATTTTTAAAAATACTGCCTTAAGTACCTGAGCCTGGCCTTTTTCCTTCTTGATTACCAATTCACTTTCTTTTAATCAGTCCCTATAAATCATCTCTTCATTTCCTGACTGGTAGTAGAAATAATTCCTCTGGACAGGAAGGCGCCA